AGGGTGTACTAAAACCACCGGCTATCCTTTTAATCATAAATTCTTTAGAAAATCTCAAGACGAAAATTCTAAGGGCCAGTTTCACAAACGTCGGTTAACTGTTAACCAGAGTTCAGTCAACTTCCTATCTTTTTCTATTTTGTTATCTAAGAAGAGACAGAGAATCAATTAACCTTCGGTTAGCAGTTAACCGACGTTTGTGAAACTGGCCCTAATACGAAAATGTAGAGGCTACAATAGCTTTTAAGTAATAAGCGATTATATTTCACAAATGGTAAGCCGGAGATTTCGCGCGCTCAGGTGCGGCGACGTGACAAGTGATAAAAGTGTTCCTACGAATGTCGCCCTTTTTAGCATAGCAGCAACCTTCATGGTCAACTGATATTGATCGACCACTTTGACAGCTACAGTACTTGGAAGTAACATGTTGCAAATTTTTACCTGAATTAAATGAAAAGGGCGACATTCGTAGGAACACTTTGATCACCTGTCGTGTCGCCGTGCCTGAGCGCGCGAAATCTCAGGCCTATAATTTGCGAAATATAATCGCTTATCATTTAAAATCTATTATAGCCACGACATTTTTGCGTTAGAATTTTCGTCTTGAAATTTTCCAAAGAATCTGTGATTAAAAGGATATTCGGTGGTTTTAGTACAGAAGCAAAACGCACATCTTACGAAATCCCATTCTTGGCATATTCCTTTATTTGTTTAATACAACGTTTCGACCCTACTTTTTGGGTCCTTATCAAGTAGTGCTAAGTGAGTTCATCGTCGTCACATAAGACAGAGTCGAATTATAAAAATACGCGTACACGCGAGCACTGCGGCTGATGGGCTCGAAAAAGTCATAAGGCTCCGACGTGAAATCACGAATACGAAATAAGAAAGGACGTCAGAGCCAAGACAGAGCGCGTTAGTGTCTGAATGATTTTAATTTTTAAATTCATTGCGAAAAATTTATCTCAGCCAGGGTTTGAATCTGGACCTCCCTGTTACTAGGCGGGCGCCTCTTTTTTTTTTATTAATATTCACGCGAATGATCAGTCTTTTTTTCAAATTTTTTTATCCACCTCGTTAAGTCGACCTTCATCCAGCGGAGGACGGGAGATCTCGCCGATGCGGATAATCCGATTGAAAGTTTCGGCCCGGGAACAACTTTCGGGACTTTTGCAATCCCTCTCGCGTCCATCTCTCGAAAGAAGAGGGAAAAAAAGATCAGTCGGAGAAAGAGGCACGGCCGTGTCACGTGTTCTCTTCTTCCGGCCCCATTGAGGATTCTCACGGACACGCACACGGGCGGGCGGACGGGCGCGCGCGCGCGCGCACGAGTGTCTTATCGCGGCGCGTCACTGATAAAGCAGCCATGATGGATAGGCGAAGAGTCTCCACCGCAGACTCCGCCCTGTTTTTTTCTCTCTCCTTCTCTAGGCGGACGCGCTTTCAGCACGCACTTTTCTACGCCGTTAACCTTCGCGACTCCACGCCCAAAATAAATCGCCGGAGGCAGGGAGGGGTACGGCGAGCGCGCGCTGCGAAAGAAATCCATTGGAAACCGAAACTTCCAATCCGACCGCCGCGTCGTCTCCCGTCACAAATGCGAATTGTCCCTTAGGTACGATTGTTGGGTATTGCGACACGGGTAACGAACAACTAATAGGATTTAATGGTAATTTGTTGAATCAATTAAATTCTTTAACGTTTAAGCCGCACGGAAATTTGCGCCGTTTCGAAATGACGCGCGAATACAATAATTCAACGATGGGAAATCAAACGTTATAACTGCAGCGGGCGAGCGGCGCTTTCTCAACAGAATCATAATTTATGAAGACGGTTGAGAACCCCGTTATCGAAACCACTATTAACAAATTACGGGGAGACGATTCACGTGCTTTTGCGAAATCGATCGGGGAGCGCGCTTCCCTATCCCCGTGCATTTTTACCCCGATATCGACCAGTTCGTTATCTCCGCACATTTCATTAAATGTATGCATCATGCACGAGCGGCGGAATGATTGGTAAGGTGCCAGGAATTGAATGGCTCACTTCACCGTGGAGCTTATCCGATAGCCCGAAAGGCCGGTGGCATGTAGTCCTTAAATTAGTCCAAAATTATTCGGCGCGATTCGCAATTAATTAAAGCTTAATATCGGACTTTCCACTCGGAAATTGGCCGTAATCGGATAATCAATATCTGTATTAATATATATTATACTATATAATGGAATATTATAACGTATGTAAAAGCGGGAGAGAGACAGAGAGACAGAGAGACACAGAGAGAGAGAGAGAGAGAGAGAGAGAGAGAGAGAGAGAGAGAGAGAGAGAGAGAGAGAGAGAGAGAATCACATACCCCCGGAGCCCTTCCGCCGCGAAACCATCGAATCCGCAAAGGTCGATGCTTCCGCGGCAAGACGCAACTCGAATTATCCGCTTGCGCACGATTCGAAGGTATAATTTCCGCGTCCCCTAATATCACCCCGCCACGTCGCGCGCCGATCGCGGCGCGGATGCGTCACCCTCTGAATCCGACTTCCTTCGTCGCGCGCGAGTTCCGGAGGCGAGAGACGTACCACGGCGGGCGGGCGGCGGCGGGGCGAGGGGGGGGGACGCCGCGGCTTAACGGAGGAGGATCATTATCGTTTCGCGGCGACACGCGGAAAAGTGCACGGCGGCGAGTGGAAAAATCCGTCGGGTCGAGGATGACACCTCGAGCATCGGCGCGCACACACTTCCTGACCGGGCCGGATCGTCCCCCTCTCGCGCCGCCGTTCGCCCGCCGCGCCGCGCCGCGCGAACGTACGCGCCTTTCTCTCTCGTTCTCCTCTCTCTGGTCGCGCGCCCGCGAGCGAGCCAGAGGGTGGAGGAAAAGAAGTAACGGCGACGGTGGAGTTAGAGGCGAGCACGAGGACAAGGCGGCCAGGAGAGGCAGGAGGCGAGGAGAAGGACGCGTATGACGAGGAGTCGCGGCGGCAGGCAGGGGGCAGAGAGCAGGGGGGGGGAGGGCCGGCTGGCGAAGGGGGGTTGCGTGAAAGAGGAGAGATAGCTCGCGTAAGCGGCGTGAAGCTGTGCGGGCGCGATTGGCCGTTTCCGCCGTGTCGCTCGTACCGATTGGCGGGTCTGCCTTCCCCCCCGGGGAATATATCGTGTTATTTCAATCGATATCTCTTGGAGTAGCCAACGACGGATTTTTCGTTCACCGCGATCGCCTTATCAGCGCGCCTTTCCACCGCGCGCGCTGACGGCGCATTTTTTCTCCAACGTCCCCCGTTTAGCGCGCGGCACGCACGGACGGCGGACGGAGACCAAGAAATCGCCGTGTCCCCCCCTTTGGTTTAGTTCGCGAGAGACGCCGCACGCTCGCGTACAGCGCTACGTTCGCGCTTCTGCATCCGGTCTGACCCGCGTGCGTGTCTTACCCCCGGTTTATATAAAAAAACCTTTCCCGAGCGGAAAAAGTGATAGTTCCTTAGCGGACGTGGTTCGTCTCGTGGATCTCCTCGGGCGCCTCTCCCGTACCCTGGGCCGCGCGCGGACCGTCCAGCCACCGCGCCGTCGCGTGCCCGATCGCAACACGAGCGTGGTGAACGAGAGTAGTACGTTACCGCGTGCCGACTCGAAACACAGCGGGATTGTCGAAACCTGGAGAAACTCGCGACGAACGCGCCAACCGCTCGCGTTGGGCCTCCCGTAGAAAAACGAGGAAATCCGACCGGTCCACCGCGCGTGATTCGACAAATCATCGAGAAACAAGAACGAAAGCTTCCGTCGACTCGAGGGAGAAAGAGAGAGAGAGGAAAAAAATTGAAAGTGCACGGAGCTTTGACGAACAAATCAAACTTAATCGCTCGCCGAAGCGCTTTTGGCGCCAAGGACTTTGTCCGCGAGTGCAAGGCCGTGGCACGTGCTTACGCAACGATCAGCGGTACCGTTGCGCAAAGGATGATCGGTCGAGCGTCGGGTCAGACGGGGTAAGGTCCGTTCGCCAGCCAGTGCTGCGAGCCAGTGGACGGGCCTACCGCTGCCGATGTTCCTTATCAAAGGGAACCGTAACGAGAGTTAATGAGGAGGTTCGATGATCGTCGGGGCTTTACAACGGTCCGCCGCTTGCGCAACACCCATGGAGCGTACGAGCATTAATTGGCCGATCGGGAACGTAATCGCGGCCAACGACAAACGATATCTTTCACACGCGCCGTTATAAAACAAAGAGAGAAACCATGGGGTTCCGTAAACGCATGCGAAGGCAGCCGCTATCGTTTCCTCACGCGATGATTTCCCCATTCTCGATTACGTAAGGGCCCGCGAGTCGAGATCGGAGAGGCCTCGCCCCGTTGAGACGTGAAACGCGCACAATGAGGAGCCGCCGTTTGGGAAAAAGATCGGCGGGTGAGATTGATCGGAACAATGGCGATCGAAGAGCCAGTCCGCGTTCGCGGCGGACGAATTTTACGCGAGCGTAACGGTCAACAGTCTGTGTTCAACTAGTCAAGGACCAAACGCCGTAGATCCTACGGCTGTCGGCTCGACCGAGATCCATTCTAGTCGTACGTCACCCCGTGGAAAGCTACCCTCTGTGAACTTTGCAACAATAGCGACCGGCGTGTGAACACGTTCCTTACACGTATGTTTTCTTAATCGCGACGCGAACTTGGATAGTCGCCCGGTTACGAGCGGCAACGATACCCTTTCGTCCCTGTCGAACGCGGAGATATCCTTACGCGCGGGACGCGACTTAAAATTCCGCATCGGGGTGGTCGAGGGGCGCGCGAGCGCTCGCGATCATGCCGGCAGTGCCGGGGCCCTTCGTGTCGTCGCGCGTGGACCGGGGCGGGTGGGACTCTTCAGGTTGCGTGCTCGAGATTCTTCCCTGAAGATGTATGGCACCAATGAAAGCCACGGGCCGAACCACGGGCCTTGGACACCGCCCCCCGCGCCCCAACCGCTCCCGCCGCAAGCCCAGCATCAAAACCATCCCCGACCTCACCCCCACAACCATCCGCCGAGCCACCCGCCGTATGTACCGCCGGCGTATCAGCATCCTCATCACCACTTGCCGCCCCAGGTAATTATTGATGGATATATTCCACGGCTAGTTTGAGCCCGAAGATCGAAAATTCACGCCAGGAGAGCGGCGACCACGTGGCTCCAGAAGAGAGAGCTTATCCCCGGGGGTGCGTTTGTCACGCGCGCTAAATAGCTACGGCCACGAGTCTGATGAATCTAATTATAGAGAGAAATGTCTCTCGAGCGCATATTTCAGACAATGTGCTCCGTCGATCTTTTACATGTCTTTCACGCATTTGCATTAGGAATGATTAATAATAATAACAATAACGTGACGCTAACGGAAATAATATTGGAAAATAATATTGCGGGACGCATAAGAAATCGCAGGTGGATCAGTTCTCAAGGGAAATCAGTGCTTCGTTGACGAATTGTCAATTGAAGGGGAAGACTGTACACGAAGTGTAGTTTAGACATAGATAGCGCATACAACTATCCCTAGATGTACATCGCTCGTTCACTTAATCCGATGATTAATCACAAGATGGAGATCGCTGCCTGATGGCCGCTTATTAAATTATCTACGTAATTCGAATTACGGTTATACCTACAAGAGTGTCTTTACCTGCCCGTTAAACGGAGGGGGTGTTCGTCGGACAATCGTCGTCCGGATCGAAACGCAAACCCGTTTCGTATACCCAGTCGCTACTCTACAATCTTCGATCGTTCGGTCTCTCGTCTTTAAGGTGTCATGTGTCACGCTAATAAAATCACGACGAGCGTTCAGATATTTCCGAAAATATCGACGCGACAAGGGCGGCCAAAACGTCCGTTAATAATTAATATTTTCAAGATGCCGCGCTAAAAATTGCATATTTCATCTCTCTCTCTCTCTTTCTCTATCTCTCTCCCCTTCTTCCTGGAAGTTGGCGCGGTTGTGCGCGTCGGAAAACTTGCAGATTGAGAAATTATTATTTTCGCGAAGGCAGACGCCGCTCCTGCCGTTTGCCCCCCATGATGGAAATGGCGACCCTGTATCCATTTTACCGTCGAGTTATACGAACCGAGTCGAATATAGCGTTACCAACGACGTCGAGACAAGACCGCAAGGCCGGCCGATCATTGAGATAGACTTTCGCTCGATCGCCGATACCCTCCTAGCAATCCTGCACTCTTGACATTGGGCTCGGCTCGGCTATCCCCGCCGACGCATTGCACATTAATACGATCGATAGCCCGCTATCGCGCGATCTCGCGGCCTCCCCGCTTCTTTTCTCCTCTTTTACCTCGCCGGCCTACTCCGCACAAGTCGCAGGATAACGACTACCTTTCGGCATCCTTAATTTCGATGTGCCGCGTCGTGTTATTTGATCCTATCCGCCGACGAAACAGGAAGCCGGATTTTGCCTACCGTAGCAGAAGGAAGTAAAGAGAGAAAAGGAGCCTTAAGGTGTTTGCGACGGTGTCGAAGTTTCACTTTTTCTCCCTTTCAAGCATTTAAAATATATTTATCGAAAACACTTGAATTATTTTTTCGCCATTTTCTCCTTCTATAAAATAACGACGCTTGTTTTTGTGCCCTCTAAAAGTCAGTCAGTGGATTATCACGGAAAACAGTGAATAATCACTGACTCACAGTTATAAGTATACAACTGCATTTTTCAGTAGTGCACACTGAGAAATATGTTCGATTAAATGTAATCGGATAATCCAGTTACATGATAACAAACAGATACAGCCGATTAAAAATGTGATCGGTTTTTCAATCAAATTTCATCGGTAACTGCATTTCGTCGGATGAATTTCATCGGATGTACCCACAATTTAATCGCAAAAATTAACCATCGGAAACGCAATTTAATTGTATTATATAATATATATATATATATAAATAAATTAGAACTCACTGATATATAATTTTGCCCCTATTAAACGTTTTACTATTTTAACTACTAATACCAATTTTAATTTTAATATTGTTTTATTGGAGCCTTGTTTATATTTATTGACAATGTGATTGGTTTAGCCGAAGAAAATTTTTCTCAGTGTACACACTTGCAGCTGCAAGTCAGTGACCATTCGCCGTTCTCAGTGATAATTCACTGATTGACTTTTAGAAAGTGTGTAACATTTACCGAGTCTAATAGCGGCAAGCGTTTTTTTCAAGCTTACCAAACGTAATGGGACAAAATAAACGATGACATTTTTGACCGTCCATCCGCAATTCAATGATTCACGTAGACAAAGGACTACTCACAATGAGATATAATAGGTAGACGGGAGGAGAACACGTCAGGATTCGTGCATCTCTATATTCAACTCTAAAATTAGACAGATGCGAGAAGTAGGGAGGCAGCGAGACAGGACAGACCGCAGAAATCGGTTCCGCGGAAATCAAATCGCCGGGTCTGCTCCTTTTTAAGCAGCTGATCGACCAACTGATTGTCCGTGTCGACCGGAAACGGACAACATACCTCGCGGAGGATCAACGTGCAACGATTCGGGCGGATTAAAGCTGACAATTACAGGGAACCGGGAGGGGGGGGGGCGGGCGAAGGGAAGAGAAAGGGTGGTTCTCCCCCTTTTCCTTTATATTACAGTATACACTATCCGCCGCGGTAGTTTAGATAGATAGGTGGGTAGGTAGGTCCGCGAATGAGTCAGGTCATGCTAGGTTAGATTGGACGTTGTCTCCGTACACGTTATGCGCTCACGTATGCGCACACTATATACACAAGCGTGCGCGCACAACACACTCGCGCACACACACACACACGGGCAACGATATACCATATGTGAGCTGCTGCACGGCCAGCGCGCGTGGGTGGACGCAGGGCACCGTGTGTGCGTGTGCGTGCACGCGTGTGTGCGCGCGCGTGGAGAGGAGGCATATGGTCAGCAGGTGAGACCTTCGCTTTGTATTCCAAGTGTATAAAGTAGCCCACTTGGAGTGGCCCGACGTTACTCACGGACGTAACTCACGGTAAAAGGGGAGGGAGGGAGGGAGGGAGGGAGAGAGAGAGAGATGGGGGGAAAAAAGGAAAGAGAGAAGGGTTGCATGCCGGATCCTCCTGAAATGCTAACGATCCCTTCGAGCATCAGCATCAGAGGGAGACCTGCCGGCGCGGGCTACGGGGCCATCCGTCGCGATTCGAATAGCAGGAAAAACGAGGTCGTGCATTTTTCATGCGAGAATCCCGCGGTGAGTCGTCTCGGCGCAACTGTGTCAAAGATGACTCGTCGAAATAAAACAGATACGAAATAAGAGGCGGAACAGTCCCTTATCGCGCGTGAATAAATCACCGTGGACCGAAAATAGTCGCGAGAGCCTAGGATTCGGCTGCGCCGGGGAAAGAACGCGGGCTAGAGCTTAATGAGCGATCCGGGCGTTAATAAAAAATTGCGGGCAACGGAGACAGACGCAGAAATATGAATATCGCAAAGGGTAAGAGGACGGGATGAGTAGAATCGGAACGAAGGATGCTTCTAAGGAAATACAGCGGGTGTCATTTGATATATTTTTCCATTATTAAGGACATTAAGCCGGCGGCCCGCGGGCCAACTCTCTTCTTTCCGTTTTCTTCTTCCTCTTTCCATTTCTCCTCGCGGGCCCCGGCGCGGCCGCGACTTCTCTCTTTCTCTCTCTCTCTCTTTTTTTCCCGCGGCTGGCGACGGCGATAAATCAGAAAAAAAGATTCAAACCGCCAGTATAGTCGGGCGTCGGGACGCAATTTTCCGTCTGCCAGGAGATAAAAATTTGATTAATGACCGCGTAGTTTTGAAATTTAAGAAAGCTGCGGCATTCCCACCGAACTGCGACGAAAAACTTCCAGGGAGAATAATAGCCGACATTGTTCGTATGTCGATGTTGCCGAGATTTCATGGCCGTCTCGTTATCTCCGAGAGCCGTTAAAAATAATCCTCCACCCTCCCCCCTTCGTTTCCGCAGTTTAATTGTAATTAAATTCACAACAATACGTTCGAAATTAAAGAACATTGATCGGAATTGTACGAGCTTCCAATGTATTTCATTCCTGCTCTTGTCTCATTACGCAATGCGAGTGTACGAGGAAATATAAAATATAAAAAAAACAAGTCATTTTATCGGCGAAACGACTTACATTCAAAGTCTAAAGAAATCTCGACGCAACACTCGAGGCAATCGTTAAAAATTCGCGTCGCGATCCTGCCACGGCGTCAAACCGTTTTTTTTTCCACGAACCCTTCTGTCACTCCCGGCTCCCGGTTAATCATCGTGAAAGTCCGTTTACGAGGGGCAAAGAATTCGAAAGGGAAAATCCGTGTTGGCAAGCAATTACACCTTAAAAATACCGTACAAGCGAACAGAGATTACACAACATGAATATACAAGAGTAAATAGAAAAGTTGATATCAAAAGACGTTATCGAGGATATCGATAAGAACGAATTCGCTTCGGTGAAACGCAATACTCCCTCCGCAGTGCCAACCTTCGCTCTGCAGCGGTAAAAAATATCTACTCCCTCGACAACCAGAGGCGCATTTCTCTCCCACTCCTACGTTCTCCGTACGAATCAAAGCAATTATAAACATTAGAATGAAAGTAGGGCTCTCGTTAAAACTAAACAAGGAACAAGAATGGCCGATGCGAGCCAAGGCAGAACGTAGGTAGCCTATACTTGTAGTTTTCAGAGCAATTATATTAATGTATTATCTCTGCCATACGTTCAATATATTATTTTTGCGGGCACCGATAATGTTTTTGCCGTCCCTCGTATTCTACAAAATCGACGCATCAATGCTCGTATCGGCGTTACCATTTGTACATCGATTAAACGGAGCCGCGCCGTTCGCAACATTTCCCCCTCCCCCCTTCCCTCCCTTGAGTACCACAAAACAGGAGCAATTTCATTCAAATCGGTGACGAACAACAGCCGGCCGACCGTGTCCGGGCGGAGGTAGAAAAAGGCGAGGAAAAAGGCGCGGAATAAAATCGCGTCGGGCAGCCCTCCCTCTCCCACGGGGATTAAAGAGTCCAGGGATGCCCAGCGAGCACCGAGATCGTCGTCACCCCGTCAAGTATCCGCAGTCACGTCGAACGGCGAACGGGGCGGGGGGGAAGGGGGGCACAGGGGGGGGAGGAAAGGGTTGAACTCGCGGAAACTTGAGAACCCCCGGTGACAATTTCAATTCTCTCTTCGTCCCGCCCGGCCGCCTCCTCCCCTCTCGCTCTCACGGAGCCCGGCGCTCCTCTCGTCGCGAAAGGGGTGACCTAAGATTCTTAAAACTTCTCACGAGATTTTTCGATTTTAATTACAGTTTTAACATATTTTAATAAAATCCTCCGCCGTCTTCGCGAGTCCATCCGTCCATCTCCCTGCCCCTCTCTGTCGCCTCCCCCCCCCCCGCCCCGCCGCCCGACGCTTTAATTCCGCCAAGTTTTCGGCCCCTCTGTTGCCCCGCGCCGAGTCCCGCCCGATCGCTCTTGCCGCGGACTGTACGGCCCTAACGTTAACCCTTTCGTTCGTTCACCTACACCCACACCCGCGGTACTGGCGTAACACCTGTTCCCCGAATGAGGAGAACCCGAAATTGAACGCTCCTCCGCCGGCTACGCGGCCCGATCCGCCGCTCTATCAGTTTCGGTTCTTCCTTACGGCGCTCAGGAAGAGCCGGAGTATAGCGACTGGGCCGCTCTCGTACGCACCGCCGCGCAACCCTTAACTCTTTCTCTCGCGATTTTTGCAGTGGTGCTGAGATCGATGGAAGCGAAGCCGATAATTAACCGTAAGCATCTACGCACAAGTAATCGCCCACAAAACTGACATGAAACGTACGGTGGACGTACTAAAATCTCCTGCAGAGATCGTAAAATTATACACCTCGATCGTGTCGCGCTCGCGTGAAACATGCGCGCCGCAATTCTAAATCAGGTGCTGGTGAGCGAGCTGGGTTACAAATTTCGTCGGGTTCCAAGTTCTCACGCTGGTTTCAGAAACGGAACTTGTGGTATCGGTCAGTAGGTCAAGTTGCACCGCACCTTCGTTCCGCGATTATAAACGTTGGCTCTCGGCCTTGCAGTACCACGACCTTGGTAACTTCTAATCGCCAAGTTCAGCCACCACTACGACTCGGATTAGATGATATAACGCCGCGGTACGCAATTTCGCGCGTCCTCTTGACTTATAACAGTGCTGTAATTTAACCCCCGAGTGTATCCGTGAAGACTAACGCGGACGAGAGAGATACGAGGATCGATCGAACCCCGCGCGTGTTCTGAAATCTGCCGAAACTGCGAAAGAATACAGTATCTTGGAACAACGTACTTTAATTATTGTTAACGAAGACCGCACGTTCTTCCCTTTCTATCTATTCTGTCGTACCAATCTCGCTGACTTAACGCATGAACAATACAAAGTGTACGATTCAGTTGAACTCGTTCATCGCAAGAACTTTTTTATCCTGGTAAAACATCGATTCCACGATACGGTATTACTTATACCATTAGCCTGCGGTCCCCTCGCCTCGTTTGCTTGTCAATAACGAATACTTTTCGTGGCTAAACGATTTCCCGCATTGAAAGCCCTTGCAAAACAATCGATATCCGAGGAGGCGAGGTGACCCCTTGGCCGTTTCGGCAATGCGAAAGCGATGGCGATCGACTACGAAATGTGCGTCAGGGCGGTCAGGGTCGATCTGCCATCCCCCGTTGCTCGGCGAAAAGTACAGCGTACCAACTAACCCCGGCAGTTCTTCTCGCAGATCTTCATGCACAAGAGCGCGATGCAGATGCACGCGAGGGAGCTGAGCGCGGGTGCACTGACGGGGAGGCCCGGCGGCGGCGTCGCCGGCGGCCTGGCCGGTCTGGGTGTCGGTGTCGGCGTCGGCGTTGGACCGGGCGGCATGATCGCCGGCAACGAAGTTAAGCCGCACCAGTGCCAGCAGTGCCTCAAATCGTTCTCCAGCAATCACCAGCTCGTGCAGCACATCAGGGTCCACACCGGCGAGAAGCCGTACAAGTGCAGCTACTGCGACCGCAGGTTCAAGCAACTCAGCCACGTGCAGCAGCACACACGACTGCATACGGGTGAGTGGCCCTCTTGTTCGCTTGTTGTTGTTAACGACATCGGGTCCGCGCGTGAGCTTTTTCCTCGATTACGCCCGATTAAAGTCGACCGCCGCGTAATCGGCACCGCCCGTAAATTAATGCAGAATAATACGCGTTAAGCCCTGGTGCCCCACCACACACCGCTGCCCAGGGCTCGTCGTTATAGAACTCGCGCCGAGTTATTGGTCAATAAATTAGTGCACGAATATATATTGCTGTTATAGTAAATTCTATGAATACTATATCGTCCGGGCTATAGCCAATAATCAATAAATTAATATGCAGTTATTGTCTGTACGGGCAATCATGCGTCCCGATTGTGACTAACTTCAATGCGCGCCGGTGCGAAATTGCTTTGTGCATGCAACATGCGTGCAAGTAAAATATTCCTACGCACAGTCGAACGAACGAACGAACGAACGAACGAACGAACGAACGAGTGCATCCTATCGCCCCGCGTACTGCTCTTTCGCGCCCCGCGAGGCTTCCGATATTTGGATAACGATGCATCTGCAGCCGCGCAGGAGGCAGCTCGCGACTAAAATAACATCGATCAGGCCGGACCAGGCACGAAGGATTTGCAATAATGAGAAAACCCGATCTGGCTGCAAAGGCAAGCCAATGGGTCGCGTCCGGGCAGAAAGAATTTCATTAAGGGATGAGCGTAGTCACTCGGAAGGTATTAGCCTCGCAGGCGAACGGTCAGCGCGCGCCGCCAGCCCCTTGGAAAAATCTCGTTGACCTTAACGAAGATTTGCTTTGGCGAAGCAGCGAGAAAAAAAACAAATAACGAGAGAAAGACGCTCCGCGTCGGGTATTCGAGCTATTTAATCGAGCCGTCCGAATGCGGAACGGAAGAGAGATACGAATCCCCGAGTAACAATCGATCCAAGGGGGGGTTCGTTGACAAAGTAAACGGATCCCCCGACGTTTCTTTGCCGATGTAACGAATCGTCGAGTCGTTTCTCTCGAATCGTTCCACGGCGAGTCGCGCGAAGGGAATGTCGTCCTGCGCGACGCAGATCCGCGGTAAACTCGCGATTCGACGCGGCTCTCGGGGCCCGGGGGTTCCCCCTCGATCGCGGGGAGATCGCGGCTTATGAAGGCAGACGTCGCGGATCTGACGAGAATATCCAACGTAACCTGATTTTCCGCGTGGGCGCTTATCTTTTTATTTCCCCGCCGCGCCACTTCGGCCGAGCCCGTTGTTCCTTAGCCGTAAATACCGGCGAAAGAAGGACCGCATTGATTTTGCCGGCCCATCTCTCGGCCTCCCGTCTTCTTGTTCTACATCTCTCTATCTCTCTCCCTCCCCCCTCTCCGTTGCGGGAGGGCCACCCACGACCAAATAACTACTGCTCAGCCACCCCTTACATTAATAACCGCCCTTCCCCACGTATCCCCCACACACGTCCCTTCGTCATCGTCCTCCGCAGGGTGGTGCTCGAGTTTGGGCGTGTATGTAAAGGGTCGCTTTGGATTTCTGCACTTCTACCGATAAAATGTTTTAAATGCGCCCGTATGTGCAGCCCCCGGCCTCGGCTGCACCGAGGGAGAGGGTGCAAACCTTGTAACGGTATCTCGTGACGACCTGCGAGCGCTCGGCGCCAAGTTTAGCCGCGAATCGAAATATTTCTATTTTCGAACGTCTTAAGGAGAAATGATTGGGCGGTGGGAAATTTATACCCATGCAACATGCAAACCCAACGAGCTTGTTGACTCCCTGTAAATCATAAATGTTATTTCTCGCCTGAACAGGCGCCTGGTGATTTATACTAATCGATCTTAATTAGTCGTACTTTTACTATTTAACGGTATATTTTTTTGTCATTAATAAAACGAATTTCAGAATAAACGCAAAGGCTCGAGCGCGGAGACGCAAAAATATTGGAAGCGGCGTCAAACGCATTCACGTTAGATTGTACCTTTGCGCGGGGCAAAAATCGCAATTACAAAATTACATTTATTTAATTCTCCGTAAATTTTGTTTATATAAATCAGGGAAACAATAATACGTTGGCACGTTAATAATTAATATCGAAGTAATGCGAATGCGGAGCGACATACTCGGAAACGTGCATTTTTGCAACGGAACAATCCCGTTATAGCGTTTGCGCCGCGTATTGATTTCTCATTTCGATGAAATTCTGGCGCGGCGGGGCACGCGGCGATTGGTCGTTCGCGTTCAAAAATCGGCGGGAATTCGCCGGCGTGCCGACGTTCCCCCCCCTTCCTCCCTCATCCCGTCGTTCCATCGCTCCGCAAATATGCACACGAGTTACATCGTTCGCGCGCATATATGCACGCGTGTCTATATATATTATACATATAATTCATTAACCGAAATTTACACGAGAACGCACGGCCGGTAAAATCCATGGGGTGGGAGAGCGAAGCGAAAGAACGGATACGGTGGTGGGCGGGCGGGCGGAGCGGAGAATATAATATCGACGAGTGTCCACGATATCGATAGCTGGTCAATATCTGTAGCCTAGACAAATACCTGGCGAGGGTGCGGAGTGCGAGGGGGAGAGAGAGAGAGAGAGAGAGAGAGAAGAGAACGAGGGTGAGCGAGTCCGTTCACCCCCTCTCGTACCAGCGCGGCGCGCAAGGATGACCAAACGGCCAGGCCAATGAGGGTCCGGCTCGCCCCACCGAGAGGCCGCCGCGTGCGAAAAAGCGCGGGAATTTTTCGATCGCCCGATCGCTCAATAATGGAACCGAAGTTACGTGCCGCCACCGTCGCAAGCGCGCACAACCGCGCGAGCGCATGAACGCGGTCGTACGTATATTCACACGTGCGCGCAACGTACACACATACACACGCGCGCGCATGCATGTATGCACACGTGCGTCCGTATGCGACGATCGGGATGCACTCGGGGAGAGAAAGAGAAACAGTGATGAAGAGGGGCGAGAGGGTGAGAGAGAGAGAGAGACGGGAACAGAGTCCGTGCGCATAGCAGGCCAGAGGCTACCAAAGATTATCCCTTCGGCAGCGGGCAAAACTCAATTTCCCAGCCAAAATCTAATGATCGACCGCCCTACGCGCCAGGGACTAATCGGTTTTCCCGGAGCCGCTAACTAGGCGCGTGTATGTTGGCTGCGAAAATCGCCGCTCGAAAAGCGGCGCGGGTAGAATTGGCGCGGGACAATCTCAAAGGACTACGGGCTCGCGATTGTTAAACGCTGCGAAAGCCCGTAATCTGGGCGTCCATTTGGTAACATCTATGACCTAATGATCCGTCTATGAGCGTAATCGGCACTGTGAAAGACGGCGATGCGTAATGGCCACGTTACCGATAACACATCGGCATTCTCCCCCGAGCGACTACGCAACTACGTGCTCTCATTGGATGTAATTTGTAAAGGATTCCCGCGGAATGGAGCATGCGACTTTGCGTCCATCGCGAGGGCCACCGGGCGTTGAAAGGGGGCGACCAGCCCGCCGTGGAGGGCGTCGCCGCCGCCGCCGACGACGATAGCGGTGCTTGAAAAAAGGAGCACGTCCTGCCGAAGAAATTGACCGGACAATTTTAAAGCCCACTTAATACTGCGAAAAATTGCCGTTTCGTCGGCGCATGAATAAAAATTAAGGCCTCCGCCGCGAGCTCCGTTTCTCACCGCGTCCCCGCTCCCGCCCGGAACAGTTTGGAAACGAGCCTGCATATCCGTATTTACGAGGTGCCGCGGTAAAACGAGGAGAAGGACGCGAACCTTCCCCGGACCCTCAGACCCCGTGAGGTCCTCCTCTCGTCCGCCGCGCTCTCGCTTCCGCCTACCTCGGCCATCCGGCAGCAGTCTGTTCCGGGTCCGCGCCTTTTTCCGTCCCTCTCGCACTTTTAATTCGCTAATTTCGCCGGTTAAGAATTCATGCGGCGGAATGCCTCTCGGCGGAGACGTCTCGAGAAAAATCAAAGCGAAGAGAAAGCGGCGCGAGGGGGTTCCCGGGGGCGGGGGGGGGGGGCGAGAGAGCCGCGGAAAAGAGCGACGCCGGTGGTCCCTTTATCACAAATGGCGCGGAATGAAAGATTAAACAACGGCGCGGCGACGCTTTGAGCGCCGAGAAATAAAAATTGCGAGCGAGACGAGACGACGGGGGAGTTGACGAGTCGCGAAACGAGCTTCCCGCCCAAATACCCCCCCCCCTTTTTTTACCCGCGAAATTATCGACGAAATCTTCGCATTTCGAGAATATTCTAAACCCGGAAGTTGATTAATTTTCGTTGATTAATATCGCAGGCTAATCAGCCAGCCGACCTATAGCCTCGCTATGAATGTTTTAACAGAACGAGCGTTAGTTCTAATACCAGCCCGCGTTCAGCGCAGCGTACTCGTAAATTACTCGTACGCCAGAATTCATGCATTCATGCAATTTTGCGAGCGATGTAACCGGCCCGTATTTAGTAATTAACACACTCAACTTCAGCTCCGCCGTAGCGACTTAAAAAGACACGATTATCGATAGACACTGAAGTTCGTAACTTCGCCATCTTTCTTCCCGCGCAACTGGCTCCGTATAAGATTTCGTCACGCTAGGATACGACCAATATATTATTCACAGGGTTCATCGCGTTCCGAAATATTGCCTAAAAAATATTTAAGTAAAATTCGTACGGCCCAAATGTGACGAACGCAAATTTGAAGGAATAAAGGACTCGGAGCCGCGACAGGGTGTCAGTGTCTAAACGTTTTATTCTAATTTCGGGAAGATACATTAATTACCTTTCGAGCCACCCGACAAAATACAAAATTAACACGATCACAACTTTAGTAGACCAAGCCATTTTACTTTCTGACGCACGTTTCCATAACAGTAACATTAAGTTAATTCAAGACATTCTCCTAAATAACTCTTATCCCCCCCGTTTTATTAAAGAACACATTACAAAAAGATTAAAACTATTACGTCATCGATACAATACTAACACTAACGACCCTCCAACTGAGAGCCTTGAACGTAAAAATTATCTCACTAT